AGACCCAAATATAACGGCTATATTCGGTATTTTTAAAATTTTAACAGAATTTTTTAAGGATTTTATTTTTTGAAAATTTCCAAATTCGTTCCAAATGGTTGAGGGTATTCAAAGTTCGGCCCGGCCGAACTTATTGCTTTTTAACTTGTTTGGATTTAAAAACTATTTAAACGGCAATATTTCAGATAAATTGTTCAGCGCCATCTATTGACAAATATTGCACTGTTTTCGTCTTCTTGATTCGTGTCTTTGATGATAAAATCAAAATTTTAAAAATAGATGTCGCCACAATGACCGCAGCTTTTTTTCTCGATCATATATCCAAGCTAATGGAATTTTTGATAAAGGGAACACCTAACGAAGAAAATTTGAACTACATTATTGGAATTACGAACGAAACTTACCATCCACTGTTAACAACAGATTCTGAAAAACCTGTCATAAGCGTGAAATAGCTGATTTGTTTTGTATTACAGTTACAGTAACAGCATCGTGTTGTTACATTATGACATTCCAAATGCTAATAGATGTAAATATTTTAGATTCTTTAAGAGATTTTTGAAATAATGCGTCAAGTGAAATTGAATATTTTCCCTAGCTTTAAGTAAATTAATTTTTGTTAGTATTTATACACATAACATTTCGCTGAAGGTGAAATTCGAAATATTGGAATATGAAATAAATACAACAACAAAGACCTTACGCTCGAACAACACTTGTTTTATTGAATATTTTCCAAAAATTATCACATATCTAAAGGGTGAGATGAAAAAAACTGCAACCAACTTCAGAATGCTGTCAGCCACTCGTCCGACAGCTGGTGAAATTACTCCAGTGACAGCTCATTATATCTTTTACAAGCGTACAAAAGCATTTTGGTGAGAATTTTTCAGAAAAAAACTTATTCGCGATGGAATTCAAGCGTGATTTATTTATATTTGGCTGGAAAACCACAAGCGGCTATCGTAAGAGCACTCCAGCGTTTAAATGTGAATGAATATTTTGTGTCTCGTACCATAGCTCGTTATCGTGATACTGGTAGCGTAGCCCGACGTCAAGGAAGTGGAAGTGGACGGAAGAAAACAGGAACATCAGCAGAAATGGTTGGAAAAGCACAGAAGCGACTTGATGGAAACCCGCGTCGCAGTGGCCGAAAAATGGCTCGTGAGCTGAACATATCGCAATACTCTATTCGGAAAATATTAAAAAATGAGCTCAGGGTAAAACCATTGAAATTTCAAAAAGTGAAAATAGTGACCGAAAGTGATGAACTGCCGAATTTCAAAATCTATATTACGCGATTTTTTTAGATTTTATACTTTTATGTCAAGAGGCCATTCTGAATTGACAAAATTTGTCAAAATCGGTTCAGCCATTCTTGAGATATAAGCATTCTAACTAACATCCCCTACCTTTGTATATACACATTGTATATATTTCGCTATGTATAACCGATATATTTACTATCGGCATCTACGTAACGGTCAGAATTGACCTGTTCGTCTATTTGTGATTTCGCCGAGATTAAAAATATTTGCGGTTTAATGGAAAATTTGACTTTTATTTAACACAAATGTTGTGGCCTATTTCACCCACTAAATATTACCCAATGACCATCAACATTGGAAGGCTTCTGCCCAGCCCTAAGCTCTAGCCCCATGCTAACTTCCGCTTTGATTGGTTTATAATTGCGACCTGTAGAGCAACTGCAAAATCAGGATTTTTTTCAGTTTTTGATCCATTTCAACCCCTAAATATTTTGCGATCATCTCGAAAAGAAATAGGGTTCTATTCTGACCCTAGCCCAACCTCTATTCTAAATTTCGTGAAGATCGGGTAGAGTGATTACAAATTAACATGGACAGACGGACAGACGGACGGACGGACATACATAGCTAGATCGACGCAGCTCGGCGAGATAGGAAGATCCATATATACTTTTCTATGTGGGAAACCAATATTTCGTGGTGTTACATAATTTTTGGCCCAATCAAACTTATGATACCCCCAACACATAGTTTTGTAGGGTATAAAAAAACAAACGAAACTTTGAATACCCTCCACCATTTGGAAAGAATTAGAAAATTAAAAAAATAAATAAAATCCGATATATGGGGGATATACGATATCGTGGACCTATATAGTTAATTCTCTCTCAGGGGTTAAAGTACTCACAAGGGATTTTCCGGGGTTTTATACCCTCCATCATAGTATGGAGGGTATATTAAGTTTGTCATTTCGTTTGTAACACCTCGAAATACTCGTGTCAGACCCAACAAAGTAGATATATTCTTGATCAGCATAAAATTCTATGTCGATTTAGCGATGTCCGTCTGACCGTCTATCCGTCGGTTCGTCTGTCAATCTGTGGAAATCACTCTAGCTCCCGAACGAAATGAAGTAGATTAATACAATTTTACTCAAAATTAAAATGTCTGCAGGACTTTTGGTATTAAAAAGGATCATGTAGGGCCACGTTTTGGTATAGCCCCCATATAACGGTACCTCCCGATATTCGGTATTTTGATGATTTTAGCTACATTATTCATCGGAATTGTTTCAAATTTGGTATTTGAAGTTCGTAATAGATACTACAGCCTAAGGCAAAAAAACTGTTTGTGTAGGTCCACGTCTTCGTATAGCCCCCGATATTTGGTATGGGCGATATTCGGTATTTTGATGATTTTAGCGACATTATTCATCGGAATTGTTTCCAATTTGGTATTTTAAGTTCGTAATAGATACTACAGCCTAAGGCAGAAAATTGTCTGTACAAGTCCACATTTTTGTATAGCCCCCATATAACGGTACCTCCCTATATTCGGTATTTTGATGATTTTACATTATTACATTATTCACCGGAATTGTTTCAAATTTCGTTTTTGAAATTCGTAATGGATACTGCAGCCTAAGGAAGAAAATTGTCTGTACAAGTCCACATTTTTGTATAGCCCCCATATAATAATACCTCCCTATATTGATGATTTTAGCCACATTGTCCACCGAATTTGTTATTAAGTTTCGCGTTTGAATATTGTAATGGCTTATAACAAAAGTTGCGTATGCAGGTCCACGTCGTCGGTTAGACCCTAATATGACGGCTACATTTGGTATTTTTAAGATTTTAACAGAATTTTTAACCGATTTTATTTTTTTGAAAATTATTAAATTCGTTCCAAATGGTGGAGGGTATTCAAAGTTCCGCCGGGCCGAAATTACAGCTCTTTTACTTGTTTATTTTCAAATCCACGATTGTAGCTCTTAGTGTTCTTGAAAAAATATTCCCTTAAAAATCCACGATTATAGCTCTTAGTGTTTTCCGTTTAAAATCAACGATAATAGCTCTTGTCCTTGGAAAAATATTCTTTTAAATTCCACGATTACCACTCTTTCCTTCCTTTAAACATCCACGATTATAGCTCTTAGTGTACTCGAAAAAATATTCCCTCAAAAATCCACGATTATAACTTTGATAGTCCTTCCTTTAAAAATCCACGATTATAGCTCTTAGTGTAGTCGAAAAAATATTCCCTCAAAAATCCACGATTATAACTCTTAGTTTTCTTAAAAAATATTCTTTTGAAAATCCACGATTATAGCTCCTTGTGTCCTTGAAAAAATATTCCTTTAAAAATCCACGATTATAGCTCTTAGTGTCCTTGAAAAAATATTCCTTTAAAAATCCACGATTATAGCTCTTAGTGTACTCGAAAAAATATTCCCTCAAAAATCCACGATTATAACTCTGATAGTCCTTCCTTTAAAAATCCATGATTATAGCTCTTAGTGTCCTTGAAAAAATATTCCTTTAAAAATTCACGATTATAGCTCTTAGTTTTCTTAAAAAATATTCTTTTGAAAATCCAAGAAATATATTCCTTGAAAAATATTCCTTAATCCTTGAAAAATTTTCCTTTAAAAATCCACGATTATAGCTCTTAGTTTTCTTAAAAAATATTCTTTTGAAAATCCAAGAAATATATTCCTTGAAAAATATTCCTTAATCCTTGAAAAATTTTCCTTTAAAAATCGACGATTATAGATCTTTGTGTCCTTGTAAAAATATTTAAATTATAAAAAAAATTTATGATTATAACTTTAATAGTACTTGAAAAAAATATTCTTTTAAAAATCCACTATTATGATTCTGACAGTCCTTGAAAAATTATCCTTGAAAAAAATTACCATAATAGCTTTGATAGTATTTGAGAAAATACGCCTTCAAAAATCCACGTGTCCTTGAAAATATATTTTTAAAAATCCACGATTAGAGCTCTTAGTGTCCTTGAAAAAATATTTCATTAAAAATTCGCGATTATAGCTCCTAATGTCATTGAAAAGATATTCCTTCCTAAAAATCCTCGATAATAGCTCTTAGTGTCTTTGAAAAAATATTCCTTTATGACTCTGAAAGTCCTCGAATAATTATCCTTAAAAAATCTATCATAATGGCCTTGATAGTGTTTGAGAAAATATTCTTTAAAAAAAATCCACGTTTATGGCTATGAAATTCCTTGAAAAAATATTCAGTAAAACTAAAAAAGTAGAACTTTACGACAAATAAATTTGGGAGTTTTAACTATTTATTGACATCGTTTTTCCAGCATAAATAATGAAGCCTATTCTATTTTAAGATTCTAGAAATGTACCCTAAATGAAGATATTTGTTATAGGTGGCTCATATGGCGCCCAATAATAATAACATAACAATAGCATATATTTTCAGTTGCTTTATATTCAGGTGATGCTATAAAAAAAAAACCTTCAATTCTACAATTACTCTTCATAAAACCCCAATATTCTCTACACCTCTTCCGAAATCCAGACGTCTGTAGGGTTGCCAAAATTCGACCTTCTCGCCTTTTTTTTCCTCTTGCTCATTGCCTCGTTTTGGTAATTTGATGTCAACAAACTTTTTGCTGACACCCGAAAAAACTGCAGCAGAACTTTGTTCCTCGTTTGTTTTGTTTTTACGGCATTTTTCAGTATTCTCACATAGATCGAAACTGAGTGTTGTAAAAATTTCAACAACGCATTTCAAATAAAAAAAAAACTATGGCATTAAATGCCTTCCATATCCATGGCATAATTGTGGGTGTTCTAACCTTACTTGTATCCTTGGCACTGATGTTATTTCAAGGAGAAATGCTGGTACTTTTGGTTAAAAATAAAACTGATGGTAAGAAATGTGAAATATTGAAAGTGAATTCATTGGTGAGATCAATTACGAAACGAGAATGTTTCACTTACGAGTTTTTAATAGAAATAAAGAAAAAAATTAATGTATAGTCTTTGAAATTAAAATGTAACTTTATAAATTGATTTAAAATAACAACTAAGCAAGCAGTAAGTTCGGCCAGGCAGAACTTGAATATCCTCCACCTATTGGAAAGAATTTAGTAATTTCAAAAACCAAAAAAAATATTATTAAAAAAAATTAAAAAAAAACTGTTTAAATCTTAAAAATACGGAATATAGGGATTTGCAGTTATGTTGGGATCTATACGAAGACTTGAACCTGAATGGGCAATTTTCTGTCGCAGGCTGTAGTACCGATTACGAAATTTGAAACTTTGAAAATTTGAAAAATGTCTGTAAAATCATCAAATTATCGAATTTAAGGAGATACATTTATATGGGGGCTATACCTAAAAGTACATCTATATAGCCCTTTTCAATACCAAAAGCCCTGCAGAAAATTATGTCTATTTTTTATACCCTACACCACAAAGTGGTCAGGGTATTATGTCTTAGTGCATTTGTTTGTAACAGGCAAAAGGAAACGAGATAGACCCATAGTTTCTTTTGATGATCTGCATAGAATCACATTCTGAGTCGATTTATGCATGTCCGTCTGTCCGTCCGTCTGTCCGTCCGTCTGTCCATGTATTTTGTAAACAAAGTACAGTTCGCATTTATTGCCCCATCCAGATGAAATTTTGCACATATCATTTGTTTGGCCCAAGGACGAACCCTATTGAAATTGGAGATAATCGGTCAAAATTTAGATATAGCTCCCATATATATCTTCGTCCGATTTGCCCTTTTTTGTGCACCAAACGTCTAATATTTGCCCAAATAGTATGGAATTTTGCACATACAACCAAATTAGGCCTGAAAATAAGTATGCGAAATTTGATTGAAATCGGTTCAGATATAGCTATAGCTCCCATATATATTGTTCATCCGATTTGTTATTTTTGCCCTCCGCAGCCGTAATATGCATTCTGTAATATATATATTTGGGGAAATATATCAAATGCAGCTCAGAAATACCTTTGTTAAATTTTATCGAGATCGGTTCCGATTTGGATATAGCTCCCATATATATCTTTATCCGATTTCAAATTAATTGTGCACCAAATCGGCAATACAAGTCCGAATTTAAAAGATACAAATGCTTCGGCATATTGGGTCTTTTGAACTTTAAATTCTAATTATAATCCTAGCGTGTATGATTGAACTCTCCCATAAAAAAAAACTTTAAATTGTTATGTGGAGCTCTACTAAATTAGCAAAGTGGTGTAGGGTATCATAAAGTCGGCCCCGCCCGACATTTTGAAGATTTGAAGTTCATAATGTATACTAAAGCCTAAGACAGAAAATTTTCTGTGCTGGTCCACATCTTCGTAAAGCCCCCATATAACGGAATCTCCCGAAATTCGGTCTTTTGATGATTTTAGCGACATTATTCTCAGTAATTATTTCAAATTTGGTATTTGAAGTTCGAAATGGATGATACAGCCTAAGACTGAAAATTGTCTGTGCAGGTCCACGTTTTAGTATAACCCCTGTGATACCTCTTTATTCTCTTCAAGTTTCGCATTTGAATTTTTATGGACCTATGCAGGTCCATGTCGTCGTATAGACCCTAAAATAACGACTACTTTCTGTATTTTTAAAATTTTAAGAAAATTGTTAACGGATTTTATTTTTTTGGAAAATTGCCAAATTCGTTTCAAATTGTGAAGGGGATTTAAAGTTCGGCCCAGTTGAACTTATAGCTTTTTTAGTTTTTTAATTCTGCTCTCATAGTATTATGAGTTTCTCCTGTAATGTGTCTTAATTTTTTGGAATATTAATTTTAATATTATATTTTTCGAGTTGCTAATTTTATTTATTTTTTCATTATTCTTTTTTTTTTAGATTCAAACACCAATATCAGCCCACAAATTATAATAATAGTGACTGCTGTCATATTATGCATAACATCCGTCCTTCTGATTTTTGGTATTGTGAAGGTATTATTTATTAAAAATAAAATTAAAAAAATAATTTTTTTGTTTTTTAAATTTTCTCTATTTTATTCGCTATTATTTAGAAACGCCCATACCTCCTATTACCCTGGCTGACTTGTATGATAATTATATCATTGGTTTTCATAATTACCCTGTTTATAGGATTCCTGCATTTATCTTCCTACAAAGGCATTCTTCATATTTTTTCATTTATAGGTAATTTTTAATAACATATGTGTGTACTTTTTAAATTCTTATAATAATTTTACTTTTTCTAGGTTTTATTATAAACATTTTATATCCCATAATTGCACTATATTTAGAGATAAGACAAACAACGACAGGATCAGTGAGTATAAACGACGGATGTTCGGAGATGTTTTTCTATGTTTGTTGTTAATAAATTAATTAAAAAAAAAAAAAATAAATTGGTAATTATTTAAAATTTTATTTAAAGAGGGGTGGAGTCACATAAATCACAGAGAAGATAGGGAAACTACACCTATCGAATGAGCTTTTAATGGTCATAAAAGCTGCTATAGTCAAGTTTCTTTAAAGGGTATAATATCAAATCTAGAGTAATTCCATAGAAGGAATCAAAATGTGCAATCGAAAAAGTCCATCAGATTATAGAATTAGATTTAAAACCAGTAAAGAAAGTCTTAAAGTCCGGCGGGGATGCCTTTATGATAGCCTACACCACTTTGCTAATTTAGTAGAGCTCCACATAACAATTAAAAGTTTTTATGAGAGAATTCAATCATACACGCTATGATTATAATTATAATTTAAAGTTCGAAGTACTAAGTATGCCGAAGCAGTTGTATCTTTTAAATTTGGACTTATATTGCCCATTTGGTGCACAATTAATTTGAAATCGGATAAAAATATATATGGGAGCTATGTCCAAATCTGAATCGATCTCGATAAAATCTGGCAAAGATATTTCTGCATTTGATATATTTCCCTGAATATCGCTGTTACGGAGTGCATATTATGGCTGTGGGTAACAAATATAACGAAGTTATATATGGGAGATATATCCAAATCCGAACCGATCTCGATAAAATTTAGCAAAGGTATTTCTGAGCTGTATTTGATATATTTTCCCAAATATCGTTGTTATAGAGTGCATATTTCCGCTGCGGAGGACAAAAATAACAAATCGGATGTTCAATATATATGGGAGCCATAGCTATATCTGAACCAATTTCGATAAAATTTCGCATACATATTTTCAGGCCTAATTTGGTTGTATGTGCAAAATTCCATACTATTCGGGCTGATATTACACAATACAAGGCAATAAAAGGCAAATCGCTATATCTAAATTTTTACTAATTATCTCCAATTTCAATAGGCCAATCTCCAATCTCCTTGGGCCAAACAAATGATTTGTACAAAACTTCATCTGGATCGGGCAATAAATGCGAACTGTACTTTGTTTACAAAAATACATGAACAGACGGACGGACTGACAGACAGACGGACGGACATGCATAAATCGACTCAGATTGTGATTCTATGCAGACCATCAAAAGTAACTATGGGTCTATCTCTTTTTCTTTTGCCTGTTACAAACAAATGTACAAAGACATAATACCCTGACCAACAGAGACCTCAGTATCAAAATTGAGGGTTTCATCGCCAAATTTAGTACCACTTTGTAATTTTTACAAGACCCCCTCAAAATCTCAAATACAGATACCTAAATATACAATTCCAGAATTTTATCTCTATCCCTTCACCTAATACAAACTATGGTACCAATCAATGTTTTCGTACACAGGGTGAGATAAAAAAAACTGTAACAAAATCAAACGCCATAATTTTTACATTTTTATACCCTACAACACTATGTGTTGGGGGTAGTATAAGTTTGATTGGGCCAGAATTTATGTAACACCTCGAAATATTGGTTTCCCATATAGGAAAGTATATATGGATCTTCCTAGCTCGCCGAGCTGAGTCGATCTAGCTATGTATGTCCGTCCGTCCGTCTGTCCGTCTGTCCATGTTAATTTGTAATCACGCTACAGGTCGCAATTTGCACGAAGGTGGGGTTAGGGTCAGAATAGAAGCCTATTTCTTTTGGAGATGATCGCCAAATGTTTAGGGGTTGAAATGGACCAAATATTGAAAAAATGTGGAATTTCGCATGTAGCTAGAGTTTAGGGCGGGGAAGAAGCCTACCAAATTGGGTGGTCATCGGATAATATTTAGCGGGTAAAATAGACCATATATTTTGTGTTGAAAAAATTCAAAATTTTTCATTACACCGCGAATATTTTAAATCCCGGCGAAATCACAAAGCCATGACAAGGTTACTTCTGATCTTTACATTGATGTTAACATCCAACAAAACGGATATATAGCAAAATATGGGCGATATATTTGTCTATCAAAGAAGATATGCTTGAAAAATCTCTTATACAGAACGTCATTAGTTCAGAATGGCCTCTTGGCAGGAAAGAAAACAAGTCTAAAAATCGTATTAAAATATCTCTCTAAAGATGAAAATATTGATTTTCTAACATTTTCTCATATTTTTTCAATTTTGTCATATTTTTGGCATATTTTCATTTTGAATTAAACATTTGATAATATTTCTACAGCTAACAAAACTAAGTAGTTAGGATATCAGGATATCATATACAGATCTCATTTATGGCCCGATCCTCACAAAATTTTGCATGGGGATAAGATGAGGGTCAGAATAGAAGCCTACTCTTTTTGGAGATGATAGCCATATATTTAGGGGTTGAAATGGACCAAAAAACTGCAAAATAGTCAGCAGGTCGTAATTATCGCCCGATCCTCACGCACATTTGAATGGGGGTTACCGGACATTGCAAAAGCAAGCAGTTTGGGATGGCCATCCAAAAATATTCAATGTGTGAAATAGTTTGCCAACTTTTGTAGACAAAATACGAAAATGTCCATTCCAGTGACTTTTTGGAGAATTCACAAATACAGGAAAGACGCACTTCTGACTATTTCGTTAACGCTGATTTCGTTGAAGAATATAGTCAGATGTCTGTATCTCATATAGAGGCGCTTCAGTCAAAAACCAATAATAAATGTTAATCTTTTGCCACTTCTGGGAGATTATAGGTCTTTGGGAAATATTGGTTCCAGATCTAGGAAGACAATTTAATTACCAATAAATTGGAAATGAGCAAATTAGTTTAAGTTGCTATTATTCGAAAATTAGAGAACGAATCCTGATGGTTTTCTTTTATTATTTGTCACAATATCTTGTGGAATTCTTTCGAGTATCTCGCCTATATAATCTGTATCGTTTATTATAGTGTTGTAGGGTATTCAACGGTCGGCCCCGCTCGGCTGTAGCCTTTGCTTACTTGTCATACCCTCCACCAAAAAAGGTATGGAGGGTATATTAAGTTCGTCATTCCGTTTGTAACTCATCGAAATAATCATTTTAGACCCAACAAAATATATATATTCTTGATCAGCGTAAAATTCTAAGACGATTTAGCCCTGTCCGTCCGTCCGTCTGTCCGTCTGTTGTAATCACGCTACAGTCTAAACGAATTAAGATAGGAAGCTAAAATTTTGCACAGATCTCTCTTTTGTCTGCAGGCAGGTCAAGTTCGAAGATGGGCTATATCGGTCCACGATATCGTATAGCCCCCATATAACGGTACCCCCGATATTCGGTATTTTGATGATGTTAGCCACATTTTTCAATGAAATTGTCTGAAAATCCACACAAGTAGTTCCTTGTGGATACTTTATACCTCGGCAGAGAATTATCTATATAGGTCCACAATATCGTATAGCCCCCATGTAACGGTACCCCCCGATATTCGGTATTTTGATGAGTTTACCCACATTTTTCAACGGAATTGTCGGAAAATCCACACAAGTAGTTCCTTGTGGATACTTTATACCTCGGCAGAGAATTATCTATATAGGTCCACAATATCGTATAGCCCCCATGTAACGGTACCCCCCGATATTCGGTATTTTGATGAGTTTACCCACATTTTTCAACGGAATTGTCGGAAAATCCACACAAGGAGTTCCTTGTGGATACTTTATACCTCGGCAGAGAATTATCTATATAGGTCCACAATATCGTATAGCCCCCATATAACGGTACCCCCACGGTATTCGGTATTTTGATGATTTTTGCCACATTTTTCAATGGAATTGTCTGAAATTCCAAAAAAGAGTCCCTTGTGGGCATTTTACCTCCTCAAAAAGAATTGTCTATATAGGTCCACGATATCGTATATCCCCCATATAACGGTACCCCCCGATATTCGGTATTTTGATGATTTTACCCATATTTTTCAACGGAATTGTCTGAAAATTCACATAAGGAGTTCCTTGTGGGTACTTTATACCTCGGCAGAGAATTATCTATATAGGTCCACAATATCGTATAGCCCCCATATAACGGTACCCCCGATATTCGGTATTTTGATGATGTTAGCCACATTTTTCAATGGAATTGTCTAAAAATCCACACAAGTAGTTCTTTGTGGGTACTTTATACCCTGTCAGAGAATTATCTATATAGGTCCACAATATCGTATAGCCCCCATATAACGTATAGCCCCCATAAAATCTTCACAAGGAGTTCCTTGTGGGTGCTTTATACATCGGCAGAGAATTATCTATATAGATCCACGATATCGTATAGCCCTCATATAACGGTACCCCCGATATTCGGTATTTTGATGTTTTTAGCCATATCTTTCAACGGAATGGTCACAAGGTGTTCTTTGTACACAAGGGGTTCTTTGTGAGCACTTTACCCCCCGACAGAGAATTCTCTATATAGGTTACGATAACGTATAGCTCCCATATAACGGTACCCCGCGATATTCGGTATTTTGATGATTTTAGCCACATTTTCCAATCGTATTGTCTGAAAATCCACACACGGTTTTCTTTGTGAGCACTTTACCCCTGAAACGGAATTGTCTATATATATATTGTCTTTTTCCAATGGAATTATCTGAAAATCCGTACAAGGTGTTCCTTGTGAGTACTTTACACGCAGACATAGATTTATCTTTATAGGTCCACAATATCGTATATCCTCCCATATATCGGCACCTTCCTATATTAGATATTTTAAAGATTTTAAAATAATTTTTATTGGATTTTATTTTTTTGAAAATTTTCTAATTCGTTCCAAATGGTGGAGGGTATTCAAAGTTCGGCCCGGCCCAACTTACTGCTTTTTTACTTGTTTTTTTTTTAATTTTATCGAATGAAAGCAAAAAATGTCGGAAATAGCGTCAAATTTTAGAATAAGTTTAGGTTTGTTCGAATTGTCACCTTTGGCACGAATTATGGCGTTCAAACGGCCAATGAAACCGTCATACGCTGCCCGAATGTTACCCTGCGGTATTTTGGTCCATTCCCGGCGAAGCGCTTGCTTGAGGTGATCGGCACTTTGGTATTTTTGCTTTCCAAAATACTCCAGACACAATAGTACAACGGATTGGTATCCGGATATTTTGGTGGCCATTGTGCGCTAGAAAAGAAGCGAGGAACCTTATTTTGTCACCATTCTTGGGTGGCGCATGCTGAGTGTGATTGTGCTGAGTCCTGTTGATAATATTCGGAATTTATTCTGATGCCACGGTCGATTAATACGAGCGGAGAGCGACCATCACCAAAGCCGGCGCTTGAGTTCTGGTGGCCAACCGAAGGTGCACAGCTGACCTCTTTGGCAAGTAAACACTATCATTTTGTTTGTTTACAAACTGCTGGAGAACGAATGTTTTCTCATCGGAGAAAACCAAATTCGGCAATTCACTGCCAAGCGAAGCAACTCTTTAGCTCTTTTGAGTCTATTTTCTTTCTGTTGCGGTGTAAGTTCTTGCAATTTTTGGAATTTCAATGGGTTCATTTTTCAATATTTACCGAATGGAATATTGCGATATGTTCAGCTCACGAGCCATTTTTCAGCCACTGCGATGCGGGCTGGGATCAAGTCGCTTCTTTCCTTTTCGAACCATTTCTGCAAATGTTGTTGTTTTCTTTCGTCCACTTCCTTGACATCGGGCTACGCTACCAGTATCACGGTAACGAGCGATGGTACGAGACACAAAAGATTATTTCACATTTAAATGCTGGAGTGCTCTAACGATAGCCATTATTGGTTTTCCAGCCAAATATTAAAAAATCACTCTATCACGCTTGAATTCCATCACGAATAACTTTTTTTCTGGAAAATTCTCACCAGAATGCTTTTGTACGCTTGAAAACAATATAATGAGCTGTCACTGGAATAATTTGAACAGCTGTCGGACGAGAGGCTTTGAAATTACAGCCGTCTGAAATTGGTTGTAGTATTTTCATCTCTCCCTTATATTGCGAATTTCCAAAAAGCCTTTGGTACATCTATCATACACTCCAAATTTAAGAGTTCTAGCTCTACTGCTTACTCAGTACCTTTAATACTTTTCGTACCGTTCTAGTACATATTTCCGAAAACTCAGTCTTATTTGACCCATTCGGACCAAGAGAGACCCGCACCCAAAATTTCAAGATTCTTGCTTCTGCCGTTTTTTCTGGACGTCAATTACTTTTCTCTTTTATAAATATAGTTTCAAATATTCAAAATTTTCACCCGCTATGGGGAAAGTGCCAGAATAATTGGTCAGATATCTTCCATCTTAGCTGTTGATAAAAATATGGAATCAGGTGCTCATATCGCGTTTTATGAGATTCATTGTTATTCAAAATTTTGAACCCTTGTGGGACAGGTACCAGAAGTAGTAGTCTGTTCTTTCCGTTCTCCATGGTAGATCTTGTGTTTGTAAAAGTATGTAGTTATGAGAAATTTGAAGAGAGTTGTACTCTTATTTCACTTGCAAAGTTGCAACAAAATCGGATGATACTTTTCTCTAACTATGAAGTAAAATATATAACAAGTAAAAAAGCTGTAAGTTCGGCCGGGCCGATCTTTGAATACTCTTGACAATTTGGAACGATCTTGGCAATTTCCAAAAAATAAAATTCGTTAAAAATTCTGTTGAAATGTTAAAAATATCGAATGTAGCCGTTATATTAGAGTCTATACGATGACGTGGACCTGCATAGGCAACTTTTGTCATAAACCATTACAATAAAATTCTAAATCATCAATATAGGGAGGTACTATTATATGGGGGATATACGAAGACGTGAACCTGCATAGACAATTTTTTGTCTTAGGCTGTAGTATCTATTACGAACTTCAAATGCCAAATTTGAAACATTTCCAGAGAATAATGTAGCTAAAATCATCAAAATACCGAAAAATGGGGGAACCATTATATGGGGGCTATACCAAAACGTAGACCTACATGACCCATTTTCAATACCAAAAGTCCCGGAGACATAATACACATTTGAGTAAAATTTTATTAACCTACTTTATTTCGTTCGGAAGCTAAAGTGATTTCCACAGACGGATAGACGGACAGATGTATAGACGGACGGACATCGCTAAATCGACATAGAGTTTTATGCTGATCAATAATATATATACTTTGTGGGGTCTAAAATTTATACTTCGAGGTATTAAAAACGGAATGAAAAACTTAATATACCCTCCATACAATGGTGGAGGTTATACAAATATAAATTGTTTACATTTATCGTGGGTAAGGTACCAAAAGGAGTTTGATCAATTAGGACCCTTCGAGAGTTGTCGTGCGCACCAGCCAGGCTGACAGACGTATACAACTGGATCGACTCTACATGTTCTGCAACGGATTTGGTTCACGGAGACCTAGGATCTACAACGATGTGGCAGGTTTTGGCCGTATCAAATGATATACACCCTCTTTAGCCATAAGAATGAGGGTATAAACATTAAAAAACACTCTATTAAATTTAGCGAAAATCGATTCAGATTAGGATATAGCTGTGATATGTATTTATTCCATTCGATTTCTAAGTTCAACTGCTCTAAAGGCATACTACACTTTATTCGGCGATCATAGTTAGCATGATATACTTCTTACAAATGCTCAATATAAACTTATGTTCGTTATGGCTACAACTCATAAATAGGCATGATGGTGTAGGGTATCTAAATGTCGAGCCCGCTCCGCGTTTCTTCCCTTCCCTATTGATTTTAAATTGTTTATATCAAAATTTTCTGCTGTTTTTTTTTTTCTAAACATTGATTATCGTTTGATTGAATAATTTCCAGATTCATTACGAATACATACCTACGAACAGGCACATATGCATATGTACATATGTGTAGGTGGAGTTATCCACAATTTACTGCATCTGGTTGAAATTGTCCCTTTTTTGTTTATTCACGTTTGTTTTTTTTTTGTAATTTGATGTCAATAAACTTTATGCTGACACCAAACTTTACTACAGAACAATGGCCAGCAGCTTTTGTTTTGATTCGTTGGCGTTATTAGTATTCGCTAAGGTTTGCTAGAGTGAAAGTCATAACAAAAGTTAAAAGTTTCGGTTTAAAAAAAAAAAATAAGAATGCCAATAACACTTTTTCACGTTCACGGCATAATTGAGGGCGTTTTGTGTTTATTTTTATCCTTGATAATGATTCTATTTCAAGCTGAGATGATCAAATATGGTAAGGCGTGCAAGTATCGAAAAGGAGCTTTACTAATGTACAATTCAATCCTTCCAAAAATCAAAATGTTAATTATACCCTCATCTATATGGTTAGAGAGGGCATATATCCATTGATATATGGTATGCTATGGTATATGTCCATTGATACGGTCAAAACGAAATAACGAATTTAGACCCTTTGGATCAAATCCAAATTTCAGGGAATTCGGAGTCGATCTAGCGATGTAGGTTCGTCTGCCTGTCGGGCTGGTTGCTGAGCACGATAACTCTCGAAGGTAGTATACGATTTGGTTCAAACTTATCCAAGATAATATTATTATTTTCAAAAGCAGCAAATTCGGCCGGACCGAACTTTTTATTCCCTTCACTATTCGGAGGGAATTTGAAAATTTAAACAAGTAAGCAAAGGCTATAGTCGTGCGTGCCGACCATGTGATATTATATCACGGAACACTGCCCAGATATTACCCTCAGCATTTTGACCAGGAATAGTTGCTGTTATTTGTTGTGATCCATTTTACACCTATATATATATATATATATATATATATATATATATATATATATATTCCAATGGTCAACCAAAATGCCAGAATTCTTCCTGTCCTTAACTCTCTTCTCAGGCGTGTCGATTGGCTTCAATTGTTTGATCGGGAATTTTTTTTGTTTTTGGTTTGGAACCCCTAAATATTTTGCTGTCATCTCTAAAATCAAGGGGCCCCTCTCCATCTCCAAATTTAGACTCATCTATATGATTTGCTTGTCTACGATATTTGGCTATATTCGTCAACGAAATCAGCATAAAAAAGCCAGAAGTTCGCCTTTTGTGTATTTCGGATACCGCCTATAAGTAATGTTGGTATTTTTTCACATAAATGTTTCACACAAATGTTGTGAGCTATTTCGCCCACTAAATATTACCCGATGGCCATCAAAATTGGAAGGCTTCTGCCCAGCCCTAAGCTCTAGCCCCATTCTAACTTCCGCTTTGATTGGTCTATAATTGCGACCTGTAGAGCAACTGCAAAATCAGGATTTTTTCAGTTTTTGATCCATTTCAACTCCTAAATATTATGCAAACATCTCCAAAAGAAATAGGGTTCTATTCTATTCCTAGCCCCACCTCCATTCTAAATTTCGTGAAGATCGGACCATAATTGCGACCTGTAGAGTGATTACAAATTAACATGGACAGACGGACGAACGGACATTCATAGCTAGATCGACTCAGCTCGGCGAGCTAGGAAGATCCATATATACTTTCCTATGTGGGAAACCAATATTTCGTTGTGTTACATAATTTTTGGCTCAATCAAACTTATAATACTCCCAACACACACAGTGTTGTAGGGTATAAAAAAAATCCGTCGAAAAATATCGCTCCAATAAAAACCTTTATATGGGGGCTACCCGAAGACGAAGTAATTTTTTGTGATAGGCTATAATTACGATTCCGAACTTCAAATACGAAATTTGACGCATTTCCGGTGAATAATGTCGTTAATATCATTGAAATACCGAATAAAGGGAGGTACTGTTGTATGGGGGCTATATTAATGTAGCGAAAATCCTGGAAATAAGGAATATCTCGGGCTAGTGTTATATGGGTGCTATACTAAAACGCAGACCTATATAGACAATTCTCTTCCAGAGGGTAAAGTACTCAGAGAGAACTCCTTGTGAAGAGTTTCAGACTATTCCATTGAAAAATGTGGCAAAAATTATCAAAATACCGAATATTGGGGGGGGGGGGGGTAGACCGATATAGCCTATCTTTGAACTTGACCTGCCTGCAGACAAAACACAGATCGATGCAAAATTTTAGCTTCCTATCTTTACTTGTTTTGACTCTGGCGTGATTACAACAGATGGACAGACGGAGGGACGTCTTAGAATTTTGCGCTGATCAAGAATATACATACTTTGTTGGGTCTAAAATTATTTTTTCGATGAGTTTCTAAGGGAATGTCGATCATACTATGTATGGTGGAGGGTATAAAAAAATATTTTACTGCAGAGAAAGAGAAACGATAACCCGAACTTGCTCCAACTTTGCAAATTTTTATATATCCACCACAGCTACGTCAGGTGCGAAAATGCACAATATCGGTCCACTCCATCAAGTATTTCCCGCACAAAGGGTCAAAATTTTGAATAATTATAGCTCTGATGATGATGGAATATATATCGGTCCACACCTTCTGGTACCTCCCCCAAAAGGGGTCACAATTTTAAATATCAATGAAGCTCATGAATTCCGAATTTATATTTTACAGATTCCATTATTTCTATTAACTCAAGATTTGTTGTGAAGATGGGATAAATCGGTTTTTTCCTTCTGATACCTCAGCCACAAAAGGCCTAAATTGTCAATACTTTTAGTTGCGGAGCAATTCAGCGATTTTTTTCGTACAATTCAGTATCACATTTAGTAAAATTTTGTACCTTTCGTCCGCTGGCTGAATACATTTTGAAACCCAAATCTTCATGTTAACCATATACACCAGCAGATTTCCAAATCAATCCGTTCCACCAAAACCAAATTAAACCGAATTTAGTACCATTTAGTACAGTTGTCATACATATGAAACACCTACTTATATCAATTATCACCACTTATATCAATCAAATCTTAATTTTTATATCAAATGTGAAGATTTTTACTGTACCCGTTCTGAAGACAAGATAATTTACGATAATAAGTGTTTTTAGTACCCTTATAGTCTGAATTTCCAAAAACGTAGCCTTATCTTACCTCTACACACCAACATTGACCAGCATGCAAAATTTATTTTTAGTTCCAGAAAATAACATCCACCCGCACATAGCATTAATTTTGGCTGCAGTTATTTTATCGGCAACATCAGGCCTTATGATTATTGGCATAATAAAGGTAAATATATAAGTATATACATAGACATAAGGAAAATCTCACTGCGATATTGGATATTTATGACAATTTCCCATTTCCATTTAGAAACGTCCACTCTTCCTACTGCCCTGGATTATTTTCATGATTTTGGTATCAGCAGTTCATATTATTTTCCTGATCATAGCCTGTATGCAATTGTTTTCTTTCCACTACAAGGGATGGATTATATTTCTAATTGTGACAGGTGGGTATTGACTCAATAAACTTTGAAATTTGTCCATAATATTTTTTTTTTTTTTTTATACACATAGGTTTTAATATCAAAATTATTTTCCCTGTGATTGGTATCTATTTGGAGCTGCGCGACGAGGGCGGCAATAAATTGGATGCAATCAGTGTTGAATGATGAATAATTAAATGAAATATTTAATTTTTAAATTGTAACATTACACTGTGCGAAAAATTCAATTATCAATATTTTCATAGAAAATTAAAGAGATTATGAAAGTGGAGCTAAAAATCGGCATTTTGAAAGTTTACATCACAAAGTGACCAAAATAGAGATGGGAGTTCCCCCCTATTCCAAATATTTTTTTTCGAATTTTAGGATTAAAAATTCAAGAAGGTAGGTCTTTGCGGTCCTTCTTTAAAAAAAAAATGAAGAAATTCTCTTTTTAAACGGGATAGGAGCAAGTCGAAATATGTGTCGCCAAAATCTGCAATAGGTTCTAGGAGGCGTCAAAAGGCACCATCTTATGTATATACATTTTTATATCAAACAAGTAAAGAAGCAGCTAATTTCGACCGTTCCTCCACCATTTGGAAGGAATTTGAAATTTTTCAAAAAAATCCGTCGAGAACTACCGCTCAAATAAAAACCTTTGCAAGAGGCTATAACAAGACGTGGTACTGGATAAGCAAATTTTTGTGCTAGGCTGTAGTAACGATTTCGAGATACAAATACAAAATTTGACGCGCATACGGTAAATACAGGGTGAGATAAAAAACTGCAACAAAGTCAAACGCCATAATTTTTACATTTTTTTTTTTAATTTTATTGAATGAAAGCAAACAAGTAAAAAAGCTGTAAGTTCGGCCAGGCCGAACTTTGAATACCCTCCACCATTTGGAACGAATTTGGCAATTCTCAAAAACAATAAAATCCGTTAACACTTCTGCTAAAATCTTAAAAGTACCGAATGTAGCTATTACATTAAGGTCTATACGACGACATGAACCTGCGTAGGTAACATTTGTCATAAGCCATTAAAATATTCAAATGCGAAACTTAAAAAAAAATCGGTTATAATGTCTATAAAATCAAAATACCGAATATCGGGAGGTATCGTAATATGGGGGCTATACGAAGACGTGGACCTGCACAGACAATTTTCTGTCTTAGGCTGTAGTATCTATTATGAACTTCAAATACCAAATTAGAATCAATTCCGGTGTAAAATGTCGCTAAAATCATCAAAATACCGAATATAGGGAGGCACAGTTATATGAGGGCTATACCAAGACGTGGACCTACATGACCCATTTTCAATACCAAAAGTCCTGCAGACATAACATACATTTGAGCAAAATTTTATCAATGTACTTCAATTCGTTCGGAAGCTAGAGTGATTTCCACAGACGGACAGACGGATAGACTGACAGACGGACAGACGGATAGACGACGATGGACATCGCTAAAATGACATAGAATTTTATGCTGATCAAGAATATATAAACTTTGTGGGGTCTGAAATGTGTATTTCGAGGTGTTACAAACGGAATGACAAACTTAATGTACCCTCCATACTATGGTGGAGGGTATAAAAATGTGGGAAATAGCATCAAATTTTAGAATAAGTTTAGATTTGGCCACCTTTGGAACGAATTGTGGCCTTAAAACGGCCAATGAATCCGTCACACACTACCCGAATGTTGCTCTGTGGTATTTTGGCCCATTCCCGGCGAAGCCCTTGCTTGAGGTGATCGACACTTTGGTAATTTTTAATGCCAACCTTGCTTTCCAAATACTCCAGATACAATTGTCCAACGGATTGGTATCCGGAGATTTTGGTGGCCATTGTGCGCTGGAAATGAAGCGAGAAACCTCATTTTGTAATCATTCTTGGATGGCGGCCCACGAGCAATTTTTCGGCCAATGCGACGCGAGTTTCGGTAAAGTCGCTTCTTTACTTTTCGAACCATTTCTGCCGATGTTGCTGTTTTCTTCCGTCTATTTCCTTGACGTCAGGGTATGCTACCAGTATCATGGTAACACGCGTCGCAGTGGCCGAATATGGCTCGTGATCTGAACAAATCGCAGTATTCCATACGCCAAATATTGAAAAATGAGCTCGGGATATAGCCATTGAAATTCCAAAAAAGTGCATGAACTTACAACGCAACAGAAAGAAAATAGACACAAAAGAGCTAAAGAGTCGCTTCGCTTGGCCGAAAGTGGTGAACTGGCGAATTTGTTTTTCTCCGATAAGAAAACATTCCATGTCCAGCAGTTTGTAAACAAACAAAATGATCGCGTTTACTTGCCAAAGAGGTCAGCTGAAAATGTGCACCTTCGGTTGGCCACCAGAACTCAAGTGCCGGTCATGGTGATGGTGTGGGCCGCCATAACAGCCGATGGTCGCTCTCCGCTCGTATTAATCGACTGTGGCATCAGAATAAATGCCGAATATTATCGCGAAAATATTCTGGAGGATGTATGGAAGCCTTGGGCACGCAAAAATTGGCCACACACCTTGGTCACTCCAGCAGGACTCATTCGTTTGACTGTGTTGCAGTCATTTTATCTCACCCTGTATACCCTCCATACAATGTATGGTGGAGGGTGTAAAAAGACATTCTAGTGTTTAAGCCGTACTTTGTGTGAGTTTGTTCAAAAATCTCCAACAAAGTATCACTTTAACAGGATGACGTCAAAGACAAAAATATCCAACAAATTTCACTATTAGTTACAAAAAAATATAATCTATAATAAAATCTATTTAGAGTTTTATATATTTTTTTTAAACATTTAAAAATAATTATTTCATCTTACAAAATTTCATATCAAGCATATCATTTTAATATATTGTCCTTACGAAATAATCGCCGAAATTATTATTTTCATTCGATTGATATTCTCCATCGTATTCGGCGGCTTCTATGGTTTCCTTGCGAATTTCAGCATACATCACATACATGGGATGGATGATGATAATTGGAATTCCTGTGTGAAATAAATGAATATATTTTTTAAGAATAAATTTAGAAATAAAATGTCAATACAGACCAATCATAACAACAACAAACATTATATCATCCCATTGATGATTTCTATATATGATGTCGTAGATGTTGCAGCAGGCGAATACCACAGCCGACAATATGGCCAATGTTAGCCATGGTACAATAAGTTTAGAATATTTCTGAGCAAAAAAGACAACAAAATAAAATAAATTAATAAGAAAAACGAAGTGAGATAAAGATGAAAAAAGGATCCCAGACTTACACTGGGCAACACAAAAAAAAAAAAAGGTATCGAAAGAAAAGCCAACAACAGAAGGAACATACATGTATAGTCGTTTTAAAAGTTTACATTGCAAAATAAACTAAATGGAGGAGTCAAGTTCACCCCTTTGCCACGTTTTTTTTTTGCAATTTTAGAATAAAGATTCCCTGAAGCTCTTACATAATATAAAGGTATAAAATGTTTTTGGCAATATTACAGATAACAATACAGCGATTTTTTACCCGAAATTCTCGAAATTCTCTACCATTCTCGTCCCTTGCAATTTTGAGACTCTAGCTATACAACATGGTGCCCTTTGCGTTTTTAGTAGCTTCTAAATACTTAGTAACTTCTAAATACCGAACTTTGAATGCACTCCAACATTTGTATAGAATTTGGAAATTTTCAAAACAAAAAAAAAAAAAAAAAAAAAAAAAAAATCCGTTAACAATTCTGTTAACCTCTTAAAAATACCAAATATAGCTGTTATATTAGGGTCTATTCGACGACGTGGACCTGCATAGGCATATTTTGTCATAAGCCATCCCAATATTCAAATGCGAAAATTCAAAAAAATCGATGAATAATGTAGCTAAAATCACCAAAATATCGAATATTGGGAGGTGCCGTTATATGGGGGCTATACGAAGACGTTGACCTGCACAGATAATTTTCTGTCTTAGACTGTAGTATTCATTTCGAACTTTAAATTCCAAACTTGAAATATTTCCGGTGAATAATGTGGCTTAAATCACCAAGCTACCGAAAATCGCCATCCACACCCTCAGTATCCGTCAAGTGAAATTTAAAGGCTACGGCTAAAACTTTTGTTGCTTCTAAGTTCGAATTTCCACAAATCGCTCCTTATCACACCCCTCCGGAATCAATAGTACTTTTTGTACTCTTTCGAATTTCTCAAAAATCCCACTTTATCTCACCCCTCAATATCGTAAGTGGCCAAATTTCAAGGCTACAGTTTTAGTGTCCTCCATGCCAAATTTTACGGCTCCAGCCCTACCATCGTGTACCCTTTTGCACTTTTCATAGCTTCTAAGTATGAATTCTTCTAAAATCTGGTCTTATCTCCCCCCCCTTTCAAAACTATCCGATCCGATCTGATCTTAAATTCCCTACTGTTTTTTGCACTTTTTGTAGCTTTTCGCAATTAACTTCGCCTTGTATCTCTCTTCCAGAAACATTAGTACAAATTTCATAAGTGCCCAAATTACGAATTTTCAAGAAATGTCGCCTTATTTCACACCTCAAGAACTATCAGTTACTCTATCTTAAATTTCATACCATTTCTTTGTCCTTTTTGTAGCCTCTAAGAACGAATCTCGCAAAAATTGCGCCTTAGTACACCTGCGAGGGGGTAACATTTTTTGAGGATGAAATATACATTTTAGACCCCACAAAGTATATATATTCTTGATCAGAATAAAATTCTATGTCGATTTAGCGATGTCCGTCCGTCTGTCTGTCTATCCGTCCATCTGTCCGTCTGTGAAAACCACTCTAGCTTCCGAACAAATTGAAGTAGATTGAAAAAATTGTACTCAAATATATATTATGTCTGCAGGACTTTTGGTATTGGAAATGTGCTATGTATATATACGGTACCTCCCGATATTCGGTATTTTTATGACTTTTTGCGACAATATTCATCGGAATTGTTTCAAATTTGGTATTTAAAATTTGAAATGAATACTACAGCCTATGACAGAAAATTGTCTGTGCATTATTAACCGATTTTTGTTTAAGTTTCGCATTTGAATATTGTAATGGCTTATGACAAAAGTTACCTATGCAGGTCCACGTCGTCGTATAGAACCTATTAACAGAATTTTTAACGGATTTTATTGTTTTCGAGAGTTGCCAAATTGGAGGGTATGTAAAGTTCGGCCCGGCCGAACTTACAGCATTTTTAATTGTTTGTTCCTTAAATACTTTTACAAGTTGTTTATTGTTTGAATCTAATACTCACCTTTACAATTCCCCAGATCAACAGAGTAGCCGACAGAGCAGTTAACAAGCCCATTGCAAATATGCCACAATGCTGTAGAATAAATTGGATACTTAATCCTGTAAAGACCATTTTTTAAAACAAATTGAATAATTAAATTTTATTTTGTATCTCACCCACCCTCATCGTCGTGGAACACATAGATATATTTGATCATTGATATTTCGTTCATCAAAATCATAAAACTTATCAGCAATGTAACAAGGGCCACAAATACACCGTGTCTTTCCAAACCCTGCAACGCCATTTTCCGTCCGTTTTGCAAATCGGCCAATAAAATTAATGAAATATGTCGTCCGTCCTTTTATGGATTTCGGTTGAGCGATCCATTACAAACTGATTGCAAAAAAATATTTGCAATAAATTATTTACATTTTTATATTAAACATTTTTCTTTATATTTTAGGTGTAGTGAAAAAAGAAATTAACTTTTTTTATTTATAAAAAAAAAAACACAAATTGCTGATAAGACCCATGGATTTGAATACGCTTTGCCTGAGAGCATTAGCATCAGAGATTCTGATTGTTTGCAACGGCAATAATCTTTAAATAACTGATAAGACAGAGTCTGTTCTCTCTCTTTCTGCCGGTAAACTCTCTGGAATTTGTTGGCAAACAAATTAGTTGAGGTATGAGATTGATTAATATTATGTATTTAATGAACTGATATACAAATTAATATAGTTTCATTTAAGTTGTGTGTTGAATAGGTTCTGGTTCTGAATTGGTTGAATCATTCCTTGCAAATAATTTTTACATTCCAGATAATTTTTCAATGATTAATTAATTTGTGGAGCGTATAAAGTAGAACATCCCATAATAATTGAATGTTCAAATTGGGATTTTATGTGAAGTAGATCATAGCAATTATGAAACTTTTTTGAATAAGTATTTTGGTTTTAGGCAAATATAATTTGAAACAAAAATGAATTAATATATGGGAAGCACAATCGACTCTAAATCTATTCCCACCAAATTTTATGGAGCCCTTCGTATCTCTCGACTTTGAGAACATTTTAATTAAAATATATAATTCGGATCAGTGTGGCTTGTTTGTTCGGGATACCGTAGTATTTTGTTCTTGCAGAATGGTCAGGCTTTATCCCTTTATTGTTGTTTTTATAAAAAAACAACGTTTGTTTATTTGTGGAGAACGATGGTAATGTTTACCAGGGGGTAAGGCAGGGAATACCTAGGTTTCGGAAAGAGCTACCAATCCTCATCAGTTCTCTTGTTTTTTTTCTGGGATATTCTCCCGAGAAATTATTTTAAAAACAAGTAAGCAAAGGCTATAGTCGTGCGGGGCCGACTATGTTATACCCTACAACACTACAATATGTTAGAAGCCCCCTTATGTCCAAATCCATATTGGAAGATTTCGCTTTTGAAATTAGGATTTTGACCAGGGAATTTTGCCCAACATTTATGCACTCCGTCGGGCTGTTAGTTGTTGTAGTCCATTTTACAGCTAAATATAATCCAATGGTCATCCAAAATGCTAGAATTCTTCCCTGTCCTTAACTCTCTGCACAGGAGTGTCGATTGGCTTCAATTGTGTGATCGGAAAAACATTTCTGTTTTTGGTTAATTTGAGCCCCTTAATATTTTGAGATCATCTCCAAAAGCAAGAAGCGCCTCTGTATCTCCAAATTTAGACTCATCTACATGATTTGCTTGTCTACGATATTTGTCTATATTCGTCAACGAAATCAGCATGAAAAAGCCAGAAGTTCGCCTTTTCGGATATCGCCTGTAAGCAACACTGGTTTTTTTCACACAAAATTAGTGGTCCATTCTTCCCGCTGTCCAAAACTCTAACTTTATGCGAGATTTCGTGTCCTTTTTTTTCTATTTGTGACTTTTATATCGGCTTCAAAATCGGGAACATTTTTAGTTGTTGGTCCATTTCAACCCTTAATATATTGCGGACATCTTTGAAATCAATAGGCCTAGCCCTTCTGAGCCGAACCCTAACCTTGTGAAAATTTTCGTGAGGATCGGGCGATATTTGCAATACTTATATAATATCCCCAACCTGTGTTGTAAGGTGAAAAAATATTACAAAATATTATAAGTCAAATTGAAAAAATCGCATGCGATAAAAAATATGAAAAAATAAAAAAATGTCACAAAATACTACAAAATCTATATTAACATCATTATTGGCATATTTTTCTGCGATTTTTTTAGATTTTATACTTTTATGTCAAGAGGGCATTCTGAATTGACAAAATTTGTCAAAATCGGTCCAGCCATTCTCGAGATATAAGCATTCTAACTAACATCCCCTTCCATTGTTTATACACATTGTATATATTTCGCTATATATATCCGATTTACTATCGGCATCTAAGTAACGGTCAGAATTAACCTGTTCGTCTATTTGTGATTTCGCCGGGATTACAAATACTAGCGGTTTAGTGGAAAATTTGACTTTTATTTAACTAACTTCTGCCTTGATTGGTCTATACTTGCGACCTGTAGAGCAACTGCAAAATCATTAAATTTTTCAGTTTATGGTCCATTTCTACCCCTAGATATTATGCGATCATCTCCAAAAGAAATAGGGTTCTATTCTGACCCTAGCCCCACCTACATTCTAAATTTCGTGAAGATCGGGCCATAATTGCGACCTGTAGAGTGATTACAAATTAACATGGACAGACGGACGGACGGACGGACGGACGGACATACATAGCTAGATCGACTCAGCTCGGCGCGATAGGAAGATCCGTATATACTTTCCTATGTGGGAAACCAATATTTCGTGGTGTTACATAATTTTTGGCCCAATCAAACTTATAATACCCCCAACACATAGTGTTGTAGGGTATAAAAACAATACTTGAAACAATTCCAGTGAAAAATGGCACTAAGATCATCAAAATACAGAATATAGAGAGCTGGCGTCAAATGGGTACCAACCAACCAACACGTGGACCTGCACAGGTAATTTCCTGTCACAAATGGTAATGCCCATTAAGAACTATAAATACAAAATTTGAAACTATTCCTGTGAATAATGTCGCTAAAATCATCAAAATTCTGAAAATAGTGAGGTAGTGTTATATGGGGGGTATACAAAGACCAGAATCTGCGTATAATTTTCTGTCATAGACTGAAGTACCCATTAGGAACCAAAAATGTGACACAATTCCGGCAAATAATGTCGCTAAGATCATCAAAATACCGAATATAGGGAGGTACATGGCAATTTTGGTCAGGGGCTGTAGCACCCCCTATGTTCCGTTGTATTATGTCGTTGTATTACCGTCATCATCATATGGGGGCTATACGAAGACGTGGACCTGTGGGAGTAATTTTCAGTCATAGGATGCAGTACCCATTAGGAACATCAAATTCCAGATATGTAACATTCCCGATGAAAAGTGTGACACAAACTTCAAAATGACGTATTAGTTATATGGGGACTATACCAAAACTTAGAGCTATATTGACAGTTATATGCAAGGATATTCCTTATATAATGAGAACACATGCTGCCTATTTACAGGGTGTCAAATTATGATTAAAACGCACAAAATACCTTAAATCTGTGGGTACAGTTATATGGAGGCTATACCAAAACGTAGACCTATATAGCCCATTTTCAATACCAAAATCCTGCAGACCTAACACATATTTGAGTAAAATTTTATCAATTAACTTCATTTCGTTCGGAAGCTAGAGTGATTTCCACAGATGGACAGACGGAGGGACATCGCCAAATCGACATAGAATTTTTTGCTGATCGAGAATGTATATACCTTGTGGGGTCTAAAATTTAAATTTCGAGGTGTCACAAACGTCCATCCATGTCCATTCCATGGTGGAGGGTATAAAAATATATAACAAAAGTATTTTTTATTCACATTTTAATTGGTTTTATTAAATTTTCTACTTTTCTACTAATAGATCACTTCGAAAATGTGTGGATTGTAAAAATCAGGTTATAGTGGCACTAACTTTCGTAATATAACATTATTTTATAAATATTGAAAAACGAAGAACTTAAAGGAAATTTAGTAAAAAAGTAAAATAAATAAAAGTTACAACCCCTATGGTTTATATGGCTTCATAATAGTTTGGATTTTGCGGATTTTCTTGCTTCAGCAGTTCGAATTTTTCACGCCTGATTGCACCGAACAAAGTAGCCAAAATATAAAATAAAAGTACTTCGACTCCTAGAACAAAAAAAAAAAAATATTAGGAAAGAAATGAATTCACAAAAAGAACAAGTCTTACCCAAATATGGTACGAACGCTTCTATATGATCAAAATGGCCGAAAGGCAGCAATGCCAAATTGTAACCCATCATGAATACGGTGAAACCCAAGGCACTCAATGCACATAACATAGCTGGAATAATGGCGAAATGGCGCTTCTGTAAAAAAATTTATTTTTTTTTATTGATTTTGTTGTACAAGGTAATTTAAATCTTTAGAAGACATTACCTTTTTGACAGCCCAAATGAGTAAAATGCAAACCAAAACGCCGCCAACATACTTTGCTAAATTCGTAGAAATTTGCTTAATATAAAAACTGCGTCGATCTTCGGGCACTGAAATATTGAGTAGAGAATAAATGCATTATTTAATTTAATTAAAAACAAGTAAGCAAAGGCTATAGTCGTGCGGGGCCGACCATGTTGGAAACCCCTTTATGTCCAAATCCATTTTGGAAGATTTCGCTATTGAAATTATGTCATGGAGCACTGCCCTGATAATATCCTTAGCATTTTGAATAGGGACGTTTGCCCAATATTTACGGATTCCGTCGTGCTGTTAGTTGTTGTGGCCCATTTTACAGCTAAATACAATCCAATGGTAATCAAAATGCTAGAATTCTTCCTTGTCTTTAACTCTCTTCTCAGGCGTGTCGATTGGCTTCAATTGTGTGATCAGGAAGTTTTTTCTGTTTTTGGTCCATTTCAACCCCTAAATATATTGCGGACATCTTTGGAAACAATAAGCCTAGCTCTTCTGAGCCTAACCCTACCCTTGTAAAAATTTTCATGAGGATCGAACGATAATTGCAATCTGTCTAATAACCCCAACCTGTGCTGTAAGGTCAAAAAGTATTACAAAATATACACTTCAAAATTAAGTCCAATGGAAAAAATCGCATGTGATAAAAAATATGAAAAAAAAAAATGTCACAAAATTCCACAAAATCTATATTAGCGTCAGTATTGGCATCTTTTTATGCGATTGTTTTAGATTTTATTATTTAATGCCAAGAGGGCATTCTGAATTGACAAAATTTGTCAAAATCGGTCCAGCCAATCTTGAGATATAAGCATTCTAGCTAACTAGCTTTGTTTATGCACATTGTATATATTTTGCTATATATATAGCAAAATATATACAATCGACTATTTCTGATTTCGCAGGGATTAAAAATATTCGCGGTTTAATGGAAAATTTGAGATTTATTTAACACAAATGTTATGGTCTATTTCACCCAGAACCATTACCCGATGACCATCAAAATTGACCAGCCCTAAGCTCTAGCCCCATGCCAACTTCCGATTCGATTTGTCTACAACTGCGACCTGTAGAGCAACTGAAAAATCAGATTTTTTTCAGTTTTTGGTCCAGTTCAATCCCTAAATATTATGCGATCATCTCCAAAAATAATAGGGTTCTATTCTGGCCCTAGCCACAGACAGACGGACGGACCGACATACATAGCTACATCGACTCAGCTCGGAGAGATAGGAAGATCCATATATACTTTCCTATGTGGGAAACCAATATTTCGAGGTGTTACATAATTTTTGACCCAATCAAATTTATAATAAGTATTGAAGGGTATAAATATAAATTTTAATTTAATTTAGGTAATTCAAAATTAAATGAAGCAGTTTTTGAGGTGTTTTTGTTTTTCCGCCAAATTTGGATTTCCCACTTCACCCGGTCATGCCCCGATAGTACTTACAATCCCAGCTAAGTTTAATATACAAATTACTGCATTCGATGGCAATGCACGACAGACAATATGCCAAACCGAATGAGGCAATTATTACCGCCTCTCTGATGAGGTTCTTCATTTTTATAAACTTTCTATGCTTTCACTTCAAAACTAAGACAATTTTAGAAAATTGATGTTGAGTCGTTGGAGATTAATAATGAACTGACTGTAATATGCAAAAATGGAATTGGTTTATACAAGTACATCCATAGGATTTATTTTATGAATTGAACTTCTTTTATTTTGAAATTTTTATTTTTTTTTTGTTATTTTTATTCAAAGCAATTCTGTTTCAAACAATTAATTTTTGGAAAATGATAAGAAGGTGCTTATGACATTGAGATTGATATTACTTTCTTTTCAATGTCATGGCATGGCAAATCCAATACACAGTTGGGACCCAATTTAATTTAGATTGTGCATGGCTAAGATTTGCTCTCCTTTTGTGCATCCGTTAGCAGATTTTGGACTGTTTTGATAAGCGCTTTGTTAAGGTTCAATATATAATATTGATAAGAATTTTTCAGATCGAATTTTTATGATCATATACAGTGTAGCTGATGAAATTAGCACAACTGCCGATGCATGTTTTATACCCTCCACCATACCTAGTATGTAGGGTATATTAAGTTCGTTATTCCGTTTGTAACTCATCGAGATAATAATTTTAGACATAATAAAGTATTTATATTCTTGATCATGTTGTTGCAAAATAGTTAGGCTTAATCCCATTATCAGCGTAAAATTCTAAGACGTTTAGCCCTGTCCGTCCATCCGTCTGTTGTAATCACGCTAAAGTCAAAACGAATAAAGATAGGAAGCTAAATTTTGGCACAGATCAGTCTTTTGTCTGCAGGCAGTTCAAGTTCGAAGATGGGCCGTCGTGGACCGATATACCACGATATCGTGTAGCCCCTATAGAACTGTACTCCCCGATATTCGGTATTTTGATGATTGTGGCCAAACTTTTCAATGAAATTGTCTAAAAATCCACAAAAAGATTTCTGAGTACTTTACCACCTGGCAGAATATTGTCTATATACGTCCACGATATCGTATATTACCCATATAACGGTACCTCCCGATATTCGGTATTTTGATAATTTTCGCTACATTTTCCAATGGAATTGTCTAAAAATCCATACTAGAAGTTCTTTCTAAGCACTTTACCCCCTGGAAGAGAAATGTCTATATAGGTCCATGATATCGTACTCCCGATATTCAATATTTTGACGATTTTAGGGTCTTATTCACCGGAGTTGTTTCAAATTTCGCATTTAGAATTCGTAATGGGTACTACAGTCTATGACAGAAAATTATTTAGGTCTTCGTATAGGCCCAGGTCTTCGTATAGGTCCCATATATCAGTACCTCCCTATATTCTGTATTTTGACGAATTTAGGTACAATATTCACCGAAATTATTTCAAATTTCCTATTAATAGTTCGTTATAGGAACTACAGTCTGGACAGAAAATTGTCTTTGCAGGTCCAGGTCTTCCTATAGGCCCCATATATCAGTACCTCCCTCTATTCTGTATTTTGATGATTTTGGGTACAATATTCACAGAAATTGTTTGAGATGTCGTATTTGAAGATCCTAATAGGTACAACAGCCTGTGACAGAAAATTGTGTATGCAACTCCAGATCCTCGTATAGCCCCGATATAACCGTACCTCCCTATATTCGGCATTTTGACATTTTTAGCTACATTATTCACCGGTTTTTTTTCATGTTTCGTATTTGAATATTTTAATGGTCTATGACAAAAGTTTCTTATACAGGTACACTTCTTCGTATAGACCACAATAAAACGGTTATACGTATATTGGGTATTTTTAAGATTTTAACATAATTTTTAACGGATTTTATTTTTTGAATATTTCCAAATTCGTTCCAAATGGTAGAGGGTATTCAAACACAATATTTGTATGTGTCTGATATTTTTGTTAGAAGAAATATTGAATGAATGGAATGTTAATTTCGCGTTTTATGAGCTTCAAGAATATTCAAATTTTTGGCCCCTTGTGGGGGAGGTACCAGAAGGAGTGGTCCGATATGTTCCATATTTACAACAGAACTAGTGGTAATAGAAATATTGAAATGTGTGAAATTTATGAAAGACATAATTATTCAAATGGTGTAGGAACTGGATTGAGTGGACCGATATTGTCCTATTTTGTACCTGATTTTTTATAGAAATATTGAAAAGTGCGAAATTTGAAAACGATCGGACTCTCATTTCACACTTAATAAGAGTTATAATTATCCAAAATGTTGACCCTTTGTTGTGGGAGGTACTGGATAGAGTGGGCTGACAATGGGTCGCACCTTACCTAGCACCTGTACAGATATTAGAATTTGCATAGTTTGAACACAAAAAGTAATATTACGATACATCAAGTTTGGGCCAAATCGGATACTCCCTTTGAGAGTTATCGTCTGCACTATTCAGACAGACGGACGGAAGGACAGACACCCTTAGATTGACTCCAAATGTCCTGAAACGGATTTGGTCCAAAGAGACCTAGGGTCTAAAACTGTAATTTCGTTGGGGCACATTTTTAACGTATCAAAAGATATGTACCCTCCGCAGCCATATGGCTGAGGTATGTATGTTACTTTCAGAAGATGTTGTCGTATATTTGGAAATTTTCAGGAAAATTTGATTGGCCGTTGTTGAGTTCATAAGTTACAAAAATTCAATCAAATATACAAACATTTTCCTCTTTTATAGATATAAATTTTACCCTGTGGCACATGGTATTATGTCTTTGAGCATTTGTTTGTAACATGGCAACAATTCACAGATTCAGATTTATGCATGTCTGTCAGCCTCAAGTTTGATGAAAATCGGTTCAGATATAGCTATAGCTCCCATAACTTGGTTTTATCCGATTTGGTGTTTAAATTCTCTCACATTCTTCTTCACTGCACAACAATGGTATTTTGTACCAGATACAGATCAGAATTACTTCTGGCAAAATTTATCGATTTCAGCTTAGATATCTTTATCCGATTTCATATTTATTGTTTACCAGGTGCGAAAATATCAGATCAAATGGAATTGATTTTTGCACATTCAACCGAATTTATGAAATACGACATATGCGGAAAATCGGTTTCCACATATCTATTGCTCCGATATATATTTTTTAAAACAATCCTTCTCGAAGTCATAATGTAATAGCAGTTTTATTTGGTGCAAGAGGTAACAATTAATAAAAGTCAAAAATATTTCTGGTAAATCCAAATCTAGTTTGGGTTTTGGGAATTTTCTAGGCGCTCTTGTTCCAGTTTTTGGTGTTTAATTTGGCGAAACATCGAAACCAGTACGTAGAAAATGAGGACTTCCAATCCTGAAAAAAGAGTATTAGAAATGAATATAAAAAACATATTATATATTTGAAAGCAACTCACCCAAAAATGGCAAAAACTTTTGTAACAACTCAAATTGGCCGAATGGCATAAATATCAAGTTATAACCAACAAAAAATATGGTATAACCCATTGCACCAAGCGGACACAATATGGCGGGAACAGTGGCCATAGGGATTTTCTGTATGAAAATAAAATTGATTTGGTGAATATCTAAAAATAGGCCAATATACCAGAAAAGAATATTTCCAAAAAGTTGGACAGATGTTATGTTGAAATGGAAAAACAGGTTTTGTTTGGATTAAAAAGCAAGCAATTAGTTTTACCTGTTTAATTCCCCATATTAGAAGAATGGCAATAAAGGCAGCCGTAACATATGCTCCCAACCTGAGAGCCACATCTTTGAAGTAGTCATCGCGGCTATCTTTCGGACCTGGAACATATACAAGTAATGAAAAAAAATTATTTGAAAATTCCAATCACATAGCAATAAAATTTATTTTTTGAAGGAAAACTCCGATACTACAAGAACAAATTATAATTATAAGACAGCTTAGTTTTAAAGGCTTTGTTTTTTTTAAAGAATATCAATAGGTAGTCTTTGACTTGTAGAAAACCTATAGGAAATCTGTTCATATAGAAAGTATATTTCCGAATTATTTTAAGAAAGACCAACACAAGAGGACTTTATTACTCAGGGTGACCAAATATTTGTTATACCCTCAGACACACATGGCTACAGAGGGTAGATATCATTTGATACGGCCCATATAACGGGTTTAGACAATAAGTTTCTTTTTACCAAATCCGTTTCAGGACAATTGGAATTGGAGATCTAACGGTATATGGTATACAAGGGGGTTAAAATTTTGAATAATTGTATATCTCATATAATGCGAAATAGGAATTTGATTCCTTCTAACCTTCGGATATTCTAATATTTCTACAAGTACAAGAATTGTACCTTCTTGTACCTTCACACCCCTTCTTGTACGTCACACTTTTCAATATTTATATCTCTAATAACTTGCGAAACAAGTCAGCGTTGCCTTTTAAAATTGAACATGAAATCTATGGACCAATTCCTTCTATTCGCATATAATTCGAAATAAATGTTCGATGCTCTTTCAATTTTGCGAGTACTAATATTTTTATAACTTGTTAAAATTTCAGAGCAAAAAAAAAGAAATATGTACAAAAGCATCTAACTTTGGCCTGGCTGAACTTTTAGTACCATACCTCTACTATTTGGAAGGAACTTGATTTTTTTTTTAATTTTTGGAGAAAAACACCATTCAAATAGACTGTAGTTCCCATAAGGGCCTTCAAATACGAATTTGAAAACAATTCCGGTGAATAATGTTAAAATGGAGGTTATAGGAAAGGTGGTCCTGCACAGACAATTTTCTGTCTTAGACTGTAGTATCCATTACGAACTTCAAAAACCAAATTTGAAACAATTCCGGCGAATAATGTTGCTAACATCATCAAAATACTGAACATCGGGAGGTACAGTTATATGGGGTTTATACGAAGATGTGGACCTGCACAAACAATTTTCTGAAATAGGCTGTAGTATTTATTACGAACTTAAAATATCAAATTTGAAACAATTCCGGTCTTTAATATTTTAATACCATAAAAATACCGAATATTGAGAGATACCGTTACAAAAGAGCTATACGAAGATGTGGACCTGCGTTAATATGCAACAAGATCTTCCAATACGAATTTTTTCCGGTCTATAATGTCGCCAAAATCATCAAAATAATAAATATTGAGAGGTACCATTGTATGAGGGCTATACGAAAACGTGGACCGACATGACCCATTTACGAACTTAACCTGCCTGCTGTCAAAATACACATGTGTGTGCAAAATGTTACCTCAATTCGTTCTATTGATAAAATGATTACAAATGACAAAGTTAATATACACTCCATAGTGGTATAAAAACGAAGTCCACTATTTTATCCGAAGTTCTCTCCTCATAATATTTGAGTACAAATTTTAATTTTTTTAATCCTTGCAAAGAACGGTCAACGTTATTGTGCTTTAACTCCGATGTCCGGTATTTTAATGAGTTGTGTCGCAGTAGAAAGGCTTCATATTTAAAATTTGAAGTTCTTATGACAGACAAGTAAAAAGGCAGTTAAGTTTGGCCAGGTCGAAATTTTTATACCCTCCACCATTTGGAGGAAACTTGAAAATTTTCAAAAAAAGTCAATCGAAAAATATGAGAACCGTTATGGGGACCTAGTTACGAAGACCTAGTTTTGCAAATGTAATTCTTGTCATAGGCTGTAGTAATGGTTCCGAGCTTCAAATACGAAATTTGAAACAATTTCGGTGAATAATGTCGCAAAAATCGTAAAAATACCGAATATCTGGGGGTACTGTTGTATGGGCGCTATACTAAACCGTGGATCTATGTAGAAAATCATCTTCTAGGGGGTAAAGTACTCAGAAGGAAACCCTTGTGTGGATTTTAAGACAATTTCATTGAACATTTTGCCTGAAATCATCAACATAGCGAATATCTGGAGGTACCATTTTATTGGGGCTATACGATATCTTGGACCTATATACACAATTCTCTTCTAGGGAATAGTACTCACAAGAAAATCGTTGTGTGAATTCTCAGACAAATTAAAATCATCAAAATACTGAATATCGGGAGGTGCCGTTATATGGGAGATATACTTTATCGTGGACCTATATAATCAATTCTCTTTCAGGGGATAAATTACTCAATTTTAGACAATTCCATTGAAAAATGTGACTAAAATCATAAAAATACCGAATATCGGGAGGTACCGTTATATGGGGAATATACGTTATCATGGGCCGATATAGCCCATCTTCGAACTTGACCTGCCTGCAGACAAAAGACGTGCAAAAGTGCAAAATTTTAGCTTAATATCTTAATTCTTTTTGACTCTAGCGTGATTATAACAGACGGACGGACGGACGGACGGACGGGGCTAAAGTGATTTAGAATTTTACGCTGATTCAAAATATATAATTTGTTGGGTTTAAAATTATTATTTGCTTGAGTTACAAACGGTATGACGAACTTAATATACCCTACATACTATGTTTGGTGGATGGCATAACAATTGCTTCTAGGGTTTCACGTCTTTGTCTATCCCCCATATAGCGGTACCTACCTATATTCGGAATTTTTAATGGTTTTTCATCAGAATTGTAAAGGGTCTCTCATTTAGAACGCAAATTTTTAAGTTCGAAATGTCATTGTTTTAAATTTGGTTATTAGAAATGGAGCGCTTCAGAAGTGAGTACCGCATTTTCATTGAAATTTGTGATTTTGCCAATAAAGTTATATTGGGTGACGAGGCCCATTTCCATCGATATGAATTCGTCAAAGGCATTTGAGGTGGGGAAAATCCTCAAGTAATTTACGACAAGTAAATAAAGGCTAAAGGAATCATTAGACCTTTTTTTATGAAAATGAGACAGGTCAAGCGCAAGCATTGAAGAAATGGATGAGGAGGGCCTGTGGTTTCAACAAGATGGCGCCACATGTCATACAGCCAGGGAAACAATTTAATTGTTGCAACAGGCAAAATTGCGTTCCAGTTGGAGCACCCTTTATCAAATTTCTATTTTACGTTTTTTCTCGATTCGGTGGCAGAACATTGTCTGTGAAGGTTCATGGTCCCAATATAATGATATATCCCGATATTCGCTATTTAAAACATTTTTTCTCATATTTTTTCACTAAATTGTTTTAAATTTGGTCTTTAGAACGTTAGATAACAACCACTGGTTGTTGTGGTATTGCGCCCACATAACATTACAGTCGACTTTATGGTGTTTTTAAGACTTAAACTGCATTATTAAACTGATTCTTGTTCCACTTACCGTCTAGAGTTTTGAGTTTCGTATATAATTTAGAGCCATCAACTGCAATATAGAAAAGCGCTATGGCCAATGCGAAGAAGCCAATTATGTACGACTGTTTTGTGAGAGTCCCCATTGATGATGCTCCGTTTTTGAAGATTTGCAATAAACTGAGTGTTGGATGCAAAATTCAAAGAACAAACCATAAACAAAAAGAACATTAATATTTGTTATCAACTTTTGCAAATCAAAGGTTGTGCAGTGTCGAAGAAGTTCAGTCTGATAGAATTAATTTTTGGTCATTCTTACTGATTAAATCAGAACACAAATTAGTAATATTTATATATGTATGTCCAAAAATTATTTATTGAGCCAAAAAAATATTTCCATTACATTCCAAATAATACGGTATACGAAACAAAAATTGTGAACACAAAAAATCAATAGAACTTCATCTTCAAGGTCAAAATTGTCTAAGGTAAAATTTTCAATATTTTTTCTCAGATATGAAGCCGTTAACAATTCAAGATCCCAAAAAACAAATTCTTGGTCAATAGAAAAAATATTCATAACAAGTTAAAAAGCTGTATGTTCGGCCGGGCCGAACTTTGAATACCCTCCACCATTTGGAACGAATTTGGCAATTCTCAGAAACAATAAAATCCGTTAAAAATAATGTTAAAATCTTAAAAACACCGAATGTAGCTATTATATTAGGGTCTATACGACGACATGAACCTGCGTAGGTAGCATTTTTTCATAAGCCAATACAATATTCAAATGCGAAACTTAAAAAAAATCGGTTATAATGTCGATAAAATCAAAATGCCGAAAATCGGGAGGTACTATTATGTAGGGGCTACACAAAGACCCGGACCTGCACACACAATTTTCTGTCGTAGGCTGAAGTATCCATTACGAACTTCAAATATCAAATTTGAAACAATTCTGGTGAAAAATGTCCCTAAAATTATTAAAATACTGAATATCGGGAGGCACCGTTATATGGGGCTTTAGGAAGAGGTGGGCCTGCACAGACAATTTTCTGTCTTAGGCTGTAGTATCCATTACGAACTTTAAATACCAAATTTAAAAGAATTCCGGTGAATAAATTCGCTAAAATCATCAAAATACCGAATATTCGGGGTTCCGTTATATGGGGGCTACACGAAGACGTGGACCTGCACAGACAATTTCCTGGCATAGGCTGTAGTATCCATTAAGAACTTCAAATACCAAATTTGAAACAATTCCGGGGAATTTCGCTAAAATTATCAAAATACCGAATATCGGAAGGTACCGCTATATGGGGACTATACGAAGACAATTTTCTGTCATAGGCTGAAATATCCATTACGAACTTCAAATACCAAATTTGAAACAATTCCGATGAATAATGCCGTTAAAATCATCAAAATACCGAATATCGGAAGGTGCCGTTATATGAGGGCTATACCAAAACGTTGACCTACATGGACCATTTTCAATACCAAAAGAGCTGCAGACATAACATACATTTAAGTAAAATGTTATCAATATACTTCAATTCGTTCGGAAGCTAGAGTGATTTCCACAGACGGACAGACGGACGGACATTGCTAAACACTACATTTTTATACACCCCACCATAGTATGGAGGGTATATTAAGCTTGTCATTCCGTTTGTAACACAACGAAATATACATTTTAGACCCCACAAAGTACATATATTCTTGATCAGCATTAAATTCTATGTCGATCTAGCTATGGCCGTCCATCTATCTCTCTGTCCGTCTATGGAAATCACTCTAGCTTCCTAACGAATTCAAGTAGATTGATATAATTTTACTAAAATGTTGATTATGTCTGCAGGACTTTTGGTATTGAAAATGGGCCATGTAGGTGTACGTTTTGGTATTTCCCCCATATAACGTCAGTATTTTGATGCTTTTAGCGACAATATTCACCGGAATTGTTTCAAATTTGGTATTTGAAGTTCGTAATGGAGACTACAGCCTAAGACAGAGAATTGTCTGTGCAGTTCCACATCATCTTATGGCCCCATACAACGGTACTTTCAGTATTTTGATGATTTTAGCTACATTATTCACAGATTTTTTTCAAGTTTCGCATTTGAATATTGTAATGGCTTATGACAAAAGTTACCTATGCAGGTCCATGTCGTCCTATAGACCCTAATATAACAGGTACATTTGGTATTTTTAAGATTTTAACAGAATTTTTAACGGTTTTTATTGTTGTCCAGAATTTCCAAATTCGTTCCAAATGATGGAGGGGATTCAATTTTCGGCCCTGCCGGACTTACAGCTTCTTTACTTGTTATTCTTACCTTCCCCGGTTTTGGTCCATAGATAAGAAACCGTCGCAATTTCTCTAAATGCACAACTATCTGGGGTTCATACATTACATAAAAATAAGTAGAGGTAGGTAAGGTAGAAATATTGAAATGTGCGAAATTTGAAGACAATAGTACTCTTATTTCACATTTTGTAATAGTTATTATTATGCAAAATGATGATGGAGGAGGTATTAGAAGGAGTGGGCCGATATATCCCATTTAATTCAAAATTTTGACCTTTGTGAAGGAGGAACCAGAAGGTGTGAGCCAGTATATCCCATTTGCACACCCTATCTTGTAATGGTTGAAATATTGGGATGTGCGAAATTTAAAGAAAATCTGATGCATATTTCGCATTTTAGATATTCCAAATGTTGATCCTTTGTGGCGAACGTATTCAAAGAAGTAGCTCGATATATCCCATCTTCACATTAGATCTTGATTTGGCAGAAATATTGGGATGTGCGGATTTTGAAAATCATCGGATGCTTATTTTCTCATTTTATAAGCGCTTTGATTATTCAAAATTTTGACCCTTTGTGGGGGAGGTACCAGAAGGAATGGTCCGCTGTACTCCATCTTTACACTCGATTTTTAATGGTATATGTGAAATTTGAAGAGAATCTGCATTATATTTCGCATTTTATGAGCGCTTTAGATAATCCAAATTTGGATCCTTTGTGGGGGAGGTACTAGAAGGAGTACTCATATCTTGTCCATTCTCACACCCAATCATGCGGTAATGCAAATATCACGATTTACAAAGTTTGAACAAAATCAGATTATCCATTCACTTCGCATGCGGTAAATTATTTTCTATGAAAATGTTGACCTTTTGTCCCATCTCCGAACTCCATTTAAGTTTGACAAAAAATGTACGATGTACCAAGTATGGACCAAATCGTATGCTTCCTTCGAGAGTTATCTCTAGCCAAAAGGGGTTCGCAGGTACCAGCAGGGGTTCGCAGATATATATCATCTTCACAACAGATCTTGTGTTAGCAAAAATGTGTGTGTGTGTGAAATTTGAAGAGAACCGGATGCTTATTTCACTTTCTTCGAGTGTATTGGTTTTCAAAATCTTTAACCGTATGCGAGGGAGGTCCCAGAAGGAATGGTCTGACCTCTACCATCTTTATAACATATGTTGCGTTGATGGAAATATTATGATGTACCAAGTCTGAATGAAATCGGATATTAAATTTGCGTTTAAAGAGCTTCACGGGTATTCAAAATGTTGACCCTTTGTGGGGGAGGTACTTGATGGAGTGGACCGATATTATCCATTTTCACACAAGACCTTGAGTTAATAAAATTATTGGGATATGTGAAATTTGAAGACAATCGGTCTCTTACATCATCCAAGTCAGAATAGAATCGGATGTTAATTTTGCGTTTTAAGAGCTTGGTGGATACTCAAATTTTCGACCTTTTGTGGGGGAGGTACTTAATAGAGTGGACCGATATTATCCATTTTTCCACCTGACCTAGAACTGACGTAAATATCAGAATTTGCAAAGTTGGAACAAAATCGGATTATCGATTCTCTTTCTGTGCAGGAAATGTATATATTTTTGATCCAGAAGGAGTGGACCGATATATTCCATCTTAACACCAGACCTTGGGTTAATATAAATATTGGGACGTGTGAAATTTGAAGGATCGGACTCTTATATCACATTTTTTTGAGAGTTGTAATTATTTAAAATTTTGAACCTTTGTGGGGGAGGTACAAGAAGGAGTGGGCCGATATTGTCTATTTGACCTAGCACTGACGCAAATATTAAGATTTGCAAAGTTGGAGCAAAATCGGATTATCGTTTCTCTTTCAGTGCAAAAAATAAATTTTTTGAAAATTTCGATCTTTTGTGGAGAAGTTACAAAAATATTACGGTGTACCAAGTTTGGACCAAATCGGATACTCCCTTCGAGAGTTATCGTGTGCACCAGCCAGACAGACAGACGGATGGACGGACGGACGGACATCGCTAGACCGACTCCAAATGTTCTGAAACGGATTTGGTCCAAAGAGACCTAGGGTCTAAAACCGTTATTTCGACTAGGCACGCTTTAACCTCTTTGGCCATATGGCTGAGGGTATAAAAAGTACCATTTATACAATCTTATGTAATGGTAAAGATAAAATAAAAATATTACAAAATATTTTGAAACAATTTTATTTTAATAAATTTGACAAATATTAAAATATTTAAGGACTTAATCAAAATTTTGTTTCCAAATAAAAATATGATGCAAATAATAATAGAAATATAGAATATAATATACTAAAAAACATTTTAAGGAATTCAGTGAGATTTTATGACGTATTTATAAATTATATTTATATTTTATCATAATAGTTGGCATGTTGAGACCCTTGAGGCTGTTCTGCACGTTGGCGTCTTATTTCTTTGAAGGTTGTGGTCAAAACATGGAATATTAGCACCTCGACGCCTGAAATTGATAAAACAAAACAAAAAAATATAAATAAATATTAAAAAAAAATAAAATATTTCCTAACATACCCAATATTGGTACTGTAGTTTGCAACAGCTCAAATTGTCCGAAGGGCATCAGAACCAAATTGTAACCCATGAAGAATATGGTAAAGCCCATGGCGACCAAAACACATAATCCCGATGGAATGATGGCAAAATGACGTCTCTGTAAAATTTAAATGTATTTTTAATCAATAAATGTAATGCATGGAGTAATAGGGACATCTTACCTTTTTGGCACCCCAAATCAATAGACTGGAAATTATGGCTCCGCCGCAAAACAATGCCAAACGTACAGCAATACCTGTGACATAGTTATCACGGCGCTCCTCGGGCACTGAAACGGAAGGGAGGAAACAAATGTGTTATTAGGAATGTGATTTTTTGAGAGAAAACTAAAATTTATTGGAGTATTTGATTCTGATTTTTATTACAACGCCCATGTGAGTTTACTAGTGACCATCGGTGTTAGGTTTGACCCTAATTTGACTTTTTATTTTTAGAAAATTTTTACCGGTACCTATAATTATCACACTATTTTGAGTTTTATACCCTACATCACATATTGGTAAGGGTATTATGCCTTTGTACATTTGTTTGTAATATGGAGAAGGGAGCGAGATATACCCATAGTTACTTTTGAGGCTCTTCATAGAATCACTTTCTGAGTCGATTTATGCATGTCGATCCGTCTGTCCATGTATTTTTGTGAACAAAATGCATGTCGCATTTATTATCCGATTGAGATGAAATATTCCAATCGAGATTTGTTTGGTACATGGAACCTATTGAATTTGGTGAGAATTTGAAATTGGTGAGAATCGGTTAACATTTTGAAATAGCTTCCATATATATCTTCAACCGATTTCGTATTAATTGTGCACCAAATGGCCAATATTAGTCCCAAAGATCTGAAATTTGGAAAAAGACGGTTCAGATATAGCTATAGCTCCCATATATATGTTTCATCCGATTTGGTGTTAAAGTTCAATGATATTTGATATAGGGCATCAGATACTCCTTGAAAATAACACCGCCAAAATTTATCGACATTGGTTCAGACTTTAATATATCTTCGATATACATCTTTATCCGATTTTTCGGATGAATAGATTTTTCATATTCAACCGAATTTTACCATTTGGTGTAACTCGATCCGGTATAGCTATCACTCCAATGAAAATTTTTATACCCTCCACCTTGGAAACGAGGGTATATTAACTTTGTCATTCCGTTTGTAACATCCTTAAATATTCGTCTTACACCCCATAAAGTGTATATATTCATAATCAGCATAAAATTCTAAGTCGATTTAACGATGTCCGTCTGTCTGTCTGTCTGTTGAAATCACGATACAGTCCATATTATTTGACGTAGAGCGCCAAAATTTAGCAGAGCTATTTACATTGTGTCTAGGATGGTTGGTATTGAAAATGAGATATATCGGTCTACGTTCTGGTATAGTCCCCATATAACGGTACCTCCCGATATTCGGTATTTTGATGATTTATGCCACATTTTTTCATGGATTTGTCTGGAAATTGGTATTTGTAGGTCATAACGGGTCCCTGAGCGTGTGGCAAAACATTGCATGTATAGATCCACGTTGTGCTATAGCCCCCATATAAAGGTACCTCCCGATATTCGGTATTTTAGTTTTTTTTGCCATATTTTTTCACGGATTTGTCTAAAAATTGGTGGCGAAACATTGCATGTATGGGTCCATGATTTGGTATAGCCCCCATATAACGGCACCTCCCGATATTCGGTAATTTGATGATTTTTGCAACCTTTTTTCACGGATTTGTCTGAAAATTGGTATTTGTTGGTCATAATCGGTTCCAGCTTCGGTGGCGAAACATTGCATGCATGGGTCCATGATTTGATATAGCCCCCATATAACGGTACCTCCCGATATTCGGCATTTTAATGGTTTTTGCCACATTTCTTCTAATGTTTCTTTTACCCTAAGGTGGAGGGTATTAAAAGTTTGGCCCGGCCGAACTTACTGTTTACACCCTACAACACTATGTGTTGGGGGTATTATAAGTTTGATTGGGCCAAAAATTATGTAACACCACGAAATATTGATTTCCCACATAGGAAAGTATATATGGATTTTCCTATCTCGACGAGCTGAGTCGATCTAGCTATGTATGTCCGTCCGTCCGTCTGTCCATGTTAATTTGTAATCACTCTACAGGTCGCAATTATGGTCCGATCCTAACGAAATTTTGCACGAAGGTGGGGTTAGGGTCAGAATAGAAGCCTATTTCTTTTGGAGATGATCATCAAATGTTTAGGGGTTGAAATGGACCAAATACTGAAAAAATGTCGGATTTTGCAGTGAAATCACTGAGCCATGACAAGGTTACTTCTGATCTTTACATTGATATTAACATCCAACAAAACGGATATATAGCAAAATATGTGCGATATATACGTTTATCAAAGAAGATATGCTTGAAAAATCTCTTATATGTCGAGAACGGCTGAACTGATTTCCACAGTTCTCATTAATTCAGAATGGCCTCTTGGCAGGAAAGTAAAAACGTCTAGAAAAATCGCATAAAAATATCTCTCTAAAGAGACATTTTGATTTAGTAAAATTTTCTCATATTTTTTCAATTTTGTCATATTTTTGGCATATTTTAATTTTGAATTAAACATTTGGTAATATTTCTACAGCTAACAAAACTAAGTAGTTAGGATATCAGGATATCATATACAGATCGCATTTATGGCCCGATTCTTATGAAATTTTGCATGGGGATAATATGAGGGTCAGAATAGAAGCCTACTCTTTTTGGAGATAATCGCCATATATTTAGGGGTTGAAATGGACCAAAAAACTGCAAAATTGTCAGCAAGTCGTAATTATCGCCCGATCCTCACGCGCATGTGAATGGAGGTTACCGGACATTGCAAAAGCCAAATAGTTTTGGATGGCCATCCAAAAATATTCAATGTGTGAAATAGTTTGCCATCTTTTGTAGACAAAATACGAAAATATCCATTCCAGTGTCTTTTTGGAGAATTCACAAATACAGGAAAGACGCACTTCTGACTATTTCGATAACGCTGATTTCGTTGAAGAATATAGTCAAATGTCTGTATCTCATATAGATGCGTTTCAGTCAAAAACCAATAATAAATGTTAATTTTTGCCACTTCTGAGAGATTATAGGTCTTTGGGAAATATTGGTTCCAGATCTTGGAAGACCATTTTCGTGCAACATCTACCAATAAATTGGAAATGAGCAAATTAGTTTAAGTTGCTATTATTCGAAAATTAGAGAACGAAACCGGATGGTTTTCTTTTATTATTTGTCACAATATCTTGTCGAATTCTTTCGAGTTTCTCGCCTATATAAACTGTATCGTTTATTATAGTGTTGTAGGGTATTCAACGGTCGGCCGCGCTCGACTGTAGCCTTTGCTTACTTGTTTTTTACTTGTTTTTTAAATAATCCATATCGAAGAAATATCACGCACTATACATCCATGTTATTTCGTTCATAGTTGGTATGATCCACTTCACATAAAATCTGAACATAAATTTTTTGTTATGTGAGCTCTACTAAATACGCATAGTAGTGAAGGGTGTCATATAGTCGATCACACCCATCTTTGACCATTCGATACGGCCAAAACGTGCCCCATCCAAATATCGGTTTTAGAACCTAGTTATAGTTCTCTTTGCACTAAATCCGTTTCAGGACATTTAAAGTCGATCTAGGTCGTTCGTTGGTTCTAGTTCGTCTTTCTGTCTGACTAAATGGCTGGCTGGCTGGTGCGCACAATAACTCTCGAAGGGAGTATCCGATTTGGTACAAACTTGCTACATTGTAATATAATTGTCAAACTTAGTCCGAGTTCGGAGATGGGAAATATCGGTCCTCTCCTTCTAGTACCTCGCCGCAAAAGGTCAACATTTTCACAGAAAATAATTTACCGTATAGATAAAGAAAAAATCATCCAATTTCGCGCAAATTTTGCAAATCTCAATATTAGTATCAGGTCTATGCCAGGTGCGAAAATGGGCAATATTGAGCCACCACAAAGGGTCAACATTATGATAAAGTATACAGTTATAAAAAGCCAAAAGAACACGCGTTCACTTCCACATTGAGAAGGTCTTAATATTTTTACTAACCCAAGATCAAATGTAAAGATGGAATATGTCGGACCAATGTCTCTCTGACAAAAAAAAAAAAAAAAAAAATTACCGTATATAATAAGAAAGGATCATTCGATTTTATGCAAACTTTGGAAGTCCATATATTTTTAGTAGCGACAGATATAGTGCGAAAATTGAGACTATTGACTGACTCCATTGAGTACATTGTGGGGGACCCGTTGTGGGGGTTCCAAAGTTTGGAATAATTATAACTCTCATGAAATATGAAATAACTATTCGATTCCATTCAAATTTCGCACCTCTCAATAGTTCTACAAACACAAGATCTGATATGAAGATGGAATATAAAAGTCCACTCCTTCCAGTACCTCGCCCACAACGGGTCAAAAATTTAAATAATCATGAAGCTCATAAAACGCGAAGTAAACATTTAATTCTCTTCAAATTTCACACATTCTGCTATTTCTAATAATTCAAGATTCGATATGGAGATGATAGATAGCGGTCCACTCCTAAGGTGAAGTTCAATGTTTTGATATAATCGGGTCTCAGATTGTAGAATTGTAAGCAAAAAATCCACCATTTGGAATGCATTTCGCAATTCTCAAAAACAATAAAATCCGTTAAAAATTCTGTTGAAATCTTCAAAATACTGAATGTAGCTGTCATATTAGGGTCTATACGACGACATGGACCTGCATAGGTAACATTTGTCATATGCCAATACTATATTCAAACCCGAAACTTAAAAAAATCGGTAATAAAATCAATATACCGAATATCGGGAGGTACCGTTATATGGGGGCTATACGAAAACGTGAGCCTTCGCAGACAATTTTTTGCCTTAGGCTGTAGTATCCATTACGAACTTCAAATACCAAATTTGAAAAATGTCGCTAAAATCATCAAAATACCGAATATAAGGAGGTACCGTTATGTGGGGCTATATGAAGACGTGGACCAGCACAGACAATTTTCTGTCTTAAGCTGTAGTATCCATTACGAACTACAAATACCAGTTTTGACACAATTCCGGAGAGTAATGTCGCTAAAACCGAATATCGGGAGGTACCGTTATATGGGGACTGTACGAAGACGTGGTTGATTTTCAATACCAAAAGTTTTTTTTTTTATTTCTCTACTTCTATTCGTTCGGAAGATAGATTGATTTCTACAGACGGACGGACATCGCTAAA